CTGACCAATAACAAAGCAATAGTGAACAAAAAAAAAGTCCTTTCTTATTCCTCTTATTAATGTGATCTGTGTTAAGAATACCATGAACATGTGTTAAGTATATGCAGCAACATCCTTGTTGTGTAAAAATATCCTTATCTGTGTAAAGGTGGCACTATGGGGTCACATGTACAACATATGCAGGCAAGTGTTTCCACCGGACTAGGAAGGGGGGGGGGGGGGGGGGGGGGGGGGGGGGGGGCATGATGTAATGGCGTGGAAGTCTGGGATCAGTCCAGGACAGGAATAGACAGCATTAAGGTTAAAATGGTGTTTACACTGAAGTAACACAACCTGAAACCTGTGTTTTACTGCCAAACATTAACAACATGGGGATAAATATCAGGACTGAATCATGTGTCCAGATGTTTTATTATTTTCTAAGTCCAATAATTGTGTTAAGGAGAATTTAATGTATTATGTAGTGTTTTTGTATGGTTTTGTTGTCTGTATTAAATTGTGATTTATGAACTGTGGTGGTTATTTTTTTTATTGAGTGTTAGCATTTCATGTGGCATGGTGGCTAGCACAATCACCTCCACAGGGTGTGAGGGTAAACTGTGATAGACTGCATGAGTCCTGCGTCAATCCTTCCAGGTTCAAAGGTTCAAAGGCTTTATTGTCATACACACAGCCACAGTGTAGTTATGGCAATGAATGAAAAGTCCCAGGCTACACCAACAATGCAACATAAATGTAAACTCACCGGCCACTTTATTAGGTACACCTTGCTAGTAACGGGTTGGACCCCCTTCTGCCTTCAGAAATGCCTTAAAGCTCACCTATTATGCTATATAATAGCAATGAGTAATGAATAATTATAGGCCAATACAAAACCTCCCATTTTTAGGCAAAATTATTGAAAAAGTTGTTTTTCAACAGCTGAGTGATTTCATGCTTTTAAATCACGGTTTTGATGTGTAACACTGTTCCAGTCAGGCTTTTCGACCACACCACAGCACTGAGACAGCTCTTGTTAAGGTATTCAATGACATCCACCTAAACACAGACAGTGGCAGAATGTCAGTGTTAGTATTATTAGATCTCAGCGCTGCATTTGACACTGTTGACCACATCATATTACTAGACCGACTGGAAAACTGGGTGGGAGTTTCGGCAACAGTTCTAAATGGTTTGAATCGTACTTAAAGGACAGACAAAACGTTGTCTCTATAGGCAATTACACATCAGCGTTGACAAATATGACATGTGGGGTTCCTCAAGGCTCCATCTTAGGACCTCTGCTTTTTAATATCTATATGCTACCACTGGCTCAAATAATGAAAAAAAACGACCTAAGTTATCATAGCAGATGACACCCAAATGTATAACAATTTCACCAGGAGACTATTCTCCAATTACAACACTGAGTAAGTGCATTGAGCACGCCAATGACTGGATGAGTAAGAACCTTCTCCAATTAAACAAAAAGAAAACAGATTATTGTTATTGGAGCAAAGGAGGAACGAATAAAAGTCATCGCAGAGCTTCAATTTTAACAGTCACATTACAATAATTATTAAGTCTGCATACTATCACCTAAAGAATATATCTAGGATTAAAAAACTAATGTCACAGCAGGATTTGGAAAAACGTGTTCATGCTTTTATTTTTAGCAGACTCGACTACTGCAATGGTGTCTTCATAGGTCTTACTAAAAAAACAATTAGAAAGCTGCAGCTGATTCAGAACGCTGCTGCTCGAGTACTCACAAATAGAGATGGGTGAGTCCTGATTAAACCGGATCATTAACCCGGATCCTAGTAATGAGCTGGTCGTGACGAGTCTCCCCTCTCCATTAACCCGAGTCCTTTGAGTCCTACACCTGGTGACGTATAAATTAAAACTATAAATTGCGTCTCTCGCTACTCTCCTTATAACATGTAAAATCACAGTACAACGTACCCCAGTCCATCTGCCTAGCCTTTAGCAAGTAGGATAGCTGCCAGAAGTTATCGTTTGGCTCAGGGGACACGGATCAGTGAAACTTCCTGCAGACTTGTGCGGACTCAGAGCCGTAACCGTAGCAGATCCAGAGATCCAGGCAGACTCAACATGCACGACTCAACAGCAGACTCAGATTCGCAAATCCTGACTCACTGAATCAAGGGAACTTCCTTCACTTCCTGCAGACTCGTGGGGAGTCAGAGCCGTAACTGTATAGCAGATCCAGAGATCCAGACTCGTCATGCACGAGCATAGCCGCGGGAAATGGGAAGTCATTTTACTTAGGGGGTGCGGACAAAAGTGGGGAGAGATTTCAAAAACAGTAACATGAAGTTTTTCAAATGTACACCATTCACAGCCCCGCCTCCAGCACCCCTACTTCCCGTGGCTATTGTGCACGAGTCAACAGCAGACTCAGAGATTCGCAAATCCTGACTCACTGTGCAAAACATAGCAGACTCGTGCGGACTCAGAGCTGTAACCGTATAGCAGCAGATCCAGAGATCCAGCAGACTCGTCGTCATGCACGAGTCAACAGCAGACTCAGATTTGCCAAATTTGCCAACATTTTTGTGATCAACATTTTTTATTAAAGCAAAAGACACTGTGTAGCGGAGGTTAATGTAACGTTAGTTTAATATGCTCGTGAAATGCAACAACTTTTCGGTTTCACCGGTAGGATTTCTACGCTCTTGGTGATGCTGACTCATATGACTCAAAGGACTCGTATGATCCGGATCTCTTCAATGACTGACTCAGAAGACCCTGAGTCCGTAAAAGGATCCGGATTTGCCATCTCTAACCTGAATGCCTATTCAATAGAGGGAAAACATTTCAAATTAAAACAAGAAACTATAAACACAAAAACGAATTGATCTCACACTGATATTTGCAGTACTCATCAACTCAAAAACACCGGTTTGTCCTGGTTAAAATTGTGAACAATGCCTTTGGGTTTCTCCCTTTTGATTCTGAGAAACAAATAGTTTGGGATGGCTAAAGACACTACACTACCCATAATCCTCTGCTATCGTTGTGATGACGACGCCAGTCCGCTTTGCTTGACAAACCTCACGATTTGTCAACAAGCTCGGAAAGTTGACGCTCACGTGACATGGACACTGGCCGTTAGAAATTAATAGGATTTTTTTTTTAGCCATGTCACAATTTGAGAGTATTCTTTTATTAAAATACTTGTTTTTCCCTGGACCAACGAAGTTATGACAGGTTTTTTTTGTCAGACTGGGTTGAAAATGCTATTGTTATGTATTTTATGTTAGGCTTCCAACCACATACACGTTCAAAACATTTTTGACTTTGAGACAAGGGACCGGAAGTGGTGAAATGCTACGTTTTTTCCGAGTTTTAGGACTCATTCCTGCACCACTTTAGTTCAGTCATGTAAGGGGGACTTCCTCCTCAAGGTGTGGGGAACCTCTGGCTGGCTGTCTATAGGCTTTGACGTCATCATGCTCTCATTTCAGAGTTCCTCCTCAGTTCAGCAGGCTCCATCGTTAGATGATGAGTCACCCATGTTCTAATTAAGGCCTTTAATGGAGGGGAACCGGTGTCAGGCTGGATGGAACATTCTTCATCTAAGTGACAGTTTAGAGGTTTAAATGTCAGCCAGTCCAAACAACCAGCTCACTCCTGAAGCTGTAGAGACCTGCTGGCCACTGATACCGTCAATGTGGAAAATCAATGTTATAACATTAATTTCCTCAATTACTAAAGTAGCCTATGGGTTTCAGGAGGAAATATTGTACTTTTTATTTTTACTGGATATATCTAACACATAAAGTGACAAATCAATTTTTTAAATTTAGATTAAACTTTGATTAAATGTTGTGATTTTATAAAGTATTATTTGAATATAAATGACGACATTATCTTATTAAATTATTAAATTATTCAACAATATATGAAAAAGTTGAAAGGATGTCATCTTCACTTATGCAAAAACAAAATAATCTTAATGTATGATCTGATGATTCCTGGCTACACCTGTCTCTGCTTGACAGGAGCCACAGGTGGAATGATGAGAGTTCAGACTCTTTCCACAGAAACATGTGGAACCGCTGCCCTGAGGTCTGAGTCAATTTCATCTGATAGCCCTCCAGTTGAGAAGCTGCTGAATGCCAATTAGCCGCCCTCCACCTCCACAGTGATCCAGCCTCACAGGGGCCAATCACTCATTATTAAGCCCCGAGCCTGAATGCAGGGGGCTGCGCTGTGAGGGGCTAGGATGAGGGGTGGGCATGAAGGAGCAAGGTCCCATAGAGGCGCGCGCACACACACATATGCACCCCTTCAGACTTTTTGAGTGTCAGATTGGCTCAAAGTACCTATTTACACTCAGAAGCAAAGCAGGAAATAGAGAGCGTGATGTGGAGGAGCTGTAAATGCATGCACTAATTTGTGGCAAGACATTATTTTAAAAACATTGTTATTGAACACAATCTGGGGTTTTGAATAAAATGCCAATATCAATCATTTACCAATCACACTAAAAAGGGATTTCACTCTGCGGGGGACCTTTCAAGACCAAAACTGCAGGGGTAAATGAACAAAATGTAAGTGAAATACCTTCAATATTCAAAAAGTCACAAAAAAAAATGAAACTGAAAAAACGGAGTACTTCTCAGGTGATTATTTTACATAACCTTCATATGATAAAAACACAAAATAATGTGTGGATCTGGCAGGGGAAGCTAAGTGCTGTTATCAACTTGCTTTAGATATCTTGAGAACAGAGATGACTTTTACTCCGGAGCAGCAGCAGCAGCTGACTTTAATGCCTGCTGTCTCTGCAGATTAACCTGGAACATTCCATCAGCAGGTCAGCCAGTACTCCCACGTGCAGGACCATTAGTCACACCTCGTCCATTTTCCCAGGCCTCGTGACGGAATCAGGTTAGTATAAAGGAGCACCTGGCCCCCCACCCGCTACACACGCGAGAGGAGCAGGGACGGAGACACGCGACAGCTATAGTTCTCCTAACAGAAAGAGAAAAATGAGCCCAAACATGTCCGTGTGCTGTTTGTCCCTGCTGGTCCTGCTGCACTGCGCAGGGGCAGGTAACCTGCAGGTAAGTCCCTGATGATGAGAGGAACATGGAATATTCATTTCAAAAGAGCTGCTTCTGAAGTTACAGTTTATTTTTTTATAAAGATTTATAAGACAAAGTTCATTACTGTGTCTCATGTCTCATATGTCAGGGAAATAATGATGATGGAGATGTTTTCAGATGGTGCTTTGTTTTGCCACAGACTCTGGATCAGCTGTTTGGAGAGCAGCTCCGCAGCTCGGAGGAGGAGAGGGGGGAGCGGGATGGGAGCTCAGACAAGGCTCTATTCGGAGCTCCCCAGCAGCAGTGGGGGGGGCCCTCGCACCTCAGCAACTCAGCTCTGGCTGAAGGAAGCGTCCTCGCGCGTCTATTCAAGGAGCTCACGAGGACCTCCAAGCGCTCGTGGAGCCGGTACAAGAAGGGGGGGCTGCGGAGCTGCTTCGGGGTCCGGCTGGAGAGGATCGGCTCCTTCAGCGGTCTGGGCTGCTAGACAGGTATCTCTTACAATTACAGCACCATGCCACACACATCCGGTTCACAGAGTGAAGACCAGGTGCAGTCACATATGAGACAATATTCAATGCATGTCAATTTAACTTTCACAATATCTGCAGGGTAAGCAAACTAAATGCAGTTATAATAAATAAATAATGCAGGATATGTGCGGACCAAGCGACTCGCTGGATCGTAAAACAAGAACTTTATCATACATGTATTGAACAGTATCCTTATAGTTATAAACAGCAGGGACGTGCACACATAGACATAAAAGTGGGCTTGAGCCCCTGCCCTTTTTCTTCCTCCAGAGAAAGTGCCCTTTTCCCCCCCTTTTTTATTTTTTATAAATGAATATATATCTACTGCTGTTTGTGCAGTTTCCCTTTCCAAAAATATATTGATTGAATACAACATTTAAATATCAGGTCGGCAGTCTCTTCAGACAGACAGGTAGCAGCACCTTCCACTTTACTGTCCCATGTTATGCCGGCTTTTCTTGGCTTGTCTGAAGGTGAGTGGTGATGAACAAATGACTAAACTGCCAGTGCCTCGAGTTTACAGCTAATTAGCTAAAAGACAAAAACAAATATGGTTAACTAAGGTAGGCTACTAGCTAATTGATAAGTTAGCTCAAGGTTTAGCTAAGGCAATGTATCATGGGCATACAGGCTAATGTACTGTACTTAAGGGGAGACACTTAAAGTGAATACAGTAAAATGTGTATCTAATAACGTCATCACAATCACCACATTGATATGCACATTAGGCGTTAACTAGGCCTAATTAAAATGTGCTAATTTGCATGCAGTTACCAAGGCATTGCAGGTGAAAATGATAAACAAACAAAAAATGGATAAACAAAAAAAAACATATCACCTCACAACTTCCCCAGATAGTTACATCAAGTCAGTATTTCCCCCTGAAATGTTATGTTTAAATGCAGATTAGCTTTAAATCTATAGATGAATTCAGACATGGTAGCAAAACGAACACCATTTATGTGTTTCTTTGAAGTTTTCTTTCCATTAGAGTGAAAGAAAACATGGAAGCAAAATAGACCAAAATAACTAAATGTACAAGTACATGAAAAAAGGATATGTTTGCCTGTAATGTCCTTAAACAGTAACTTCATAATTTTCATTGTTGGCTGCTCATTTAATAACTAATAATTGTACTAGTTTGTTGTCTGCTCTTGTGCGTAGTGAATACTAAAGAAGGCCATTGTCTCCGTGTTAGCTGATTATTTTGTAGAATTCTGTTGAGTATTAAACAATTACGTGAGTGTGAGGGTATTCAAATAAATTGGTCAGTAAGTCAGAGATGTGCAACTATATTCTTTTTTATAAATTATTATGGGAAGTGCCCTTTTTCAAAATGTCTGTGCACGTCCCTGATAAACAGCCTAGTAATATGTTTAACATTAGGGTAAAAACAACATGTTTAAGTGTTTGATCTTTTACATCAATGCATGTTAAACACAGTGAAGCAGCAACATTTAAGAGTTTGTTATAATTAACTGCAGTGAAATTGCGATATTTACAGTAAGAGGTACGGTAAGAGCTGCTGGAGCTTCAGGGGATTTTCCTCAAGCAGCTGTAAGACAGTTATGACGATATTCTGATTTGAACGTGCTGTGTGGTGTGTGTGTGTGTGTGTGTGTGTGTGTGTGTGTGTGTGTGTGTGTGTGTGTGTGTGTGTGTGTGTGTGTGTGTGTGTGTGTGTGTGTGTGTGTGTGTGTGTGTGTGTGTGTGTGTAAAGGCGCGGACCTGCGGCTGGAGCTCCTCGCGCTCTCCGCTCCCGAGGCACCCTGTCCATGGTGCTGATGCGCAGCAGAGATTTCCCTTTTCATATGTTAACTGTTGAATAATAAATTATGGAAAATGTATTTATTATTAACTTGTTGGATCCATTAGTGTTGCCTTGTAATGGTATTGTAGTAAAACAAATATTTTGCATAATAACTGAGTGTGACTCTTTTTGTTTAGGTTCTGTGTGAAATGTAGGCTAGCTTATTATTATTATCCTAAGTGATACTACCATTCTTAATGCACGTAAAATGAACAACTGAATTTGGTCCTTAAAAATGTATTTTTTTTATTTTGTCGTCAGCTGTGAGCAGTTAATCATCGGAACAGTTTGCTGTTAGACAATAAACGGGGATCGGTGTTGTAGCTCATATTTTCAGTAGGTCCTGGCTCAATTCGTGGCATCTTCAAGCAGTGGCAGGTACTTCCTGTGGCAGCTGCAGATGCCACTACTTGCCGAGGCATCTGCCTCTGCTGAGCGGGAGTTACCACTGGATGCTGGGGCAAGCGAAGGTTTACGGTAGCTGCCACTCGCCTTCCGTGGCAAATGCTGCTGGTTAAACACGTATTCATCGTGTAAATTGTCGCTGTTTAGGCATGACTTTATAGAACTGATCTGTACACATGGCTGATATGCGATCTCTATTTTTCCAAAGGATTATAAATTATAATTTCTATTTAATTTTCAAATCAAATCAATTTGACTTGGAGAACGTGGTTTATTAAAATAAATAAACGTGCTATTTTTATGATACTACTCAAGATATATTATACTTAAATAAAGACAACTTATTGAAATTAAGATCTATCATTATTGACCAGAGGTGGGAAGTAACTTACTTAAGTACTGTACTTAGAATTTAGAAATAGCCTTGTGCTTTAGTTGAGTATTTCAATTGTATGTTAGTACTTCTACCCCACTGTAGTGGAGATAAATAGTGTACTTTTACTCCACTACATGTATGTAATACCTTTAGTTACTCTACAGATGTGGATGAATGATGTGAAATATAATCAAGTGTTAAATCAGACTTTAGTTCCACCTGGAGTAAATCCACCAGCTACCCTGCAGTATACAAAGTCATTCAAACTAGCTGCACCTTCACCAGCTTTGAGAACACTTTCATGATCAATCATTATAATGAAAACATGTAATATGTACTTTTACTTTAAGTATATTTTGATGCTAATACTTTTGCACTTTTACATGAGTAATATTAATAATGCAGGACTTTTACTGTAATAGAGTATTCCTTCCTACATTTAGGTACTTCTACTTTTACTTAAGCACAAGATCTGAGTACTTCTCCCATTTCTGTTCTTGACACAGCAACGTGTCCACTGGTGTTATTAGCCTCAGCTACAACTGATTAGGGGTAGTTGCCACAGCTTGCTCTGGCAAGTGCTACTGCTAGGGGGCAGATGCCACTGCTAGGGGGCAGATGCCACTGCTAGGGGACAGACGCCACTGCTTGCTTGCTAATATTTCGTAATGTTAATTATTTGGTCTTCTTTATCTGTTTATTCAAGCAAGACATTCATACAGTTATACAGTGTAATTCTTAAATGCAGTTGCTAAAGCTTAGAAACATAATTTTTGTTTCACTCACTCAGGTCCAAGCTGCAAATAGTGTGCTGATTTAAAAGCCTATATATGGCTCTTGCAGCACCATCTGCAGGTACATTAGCTGAACTGTAATACATGACAGGCCGTTAGAGGCTTTACACCACATGTGTCAAACTCAAGGCCCGGGGGCCAGATAAGGCCCTTGGTGGATTTAATTTCGGCCCGCAGGATAATTTCGAATTACTATTAGATTTAATGTTTAATGTTGTTTTTATAGGCAATAATTTAAGCTTTGTTAGTTCCAGGTTTAATATGTGCAATAAGTTATTTCAATACGTTTTGCAATAAACATTGAACCAGTCTGGCCCTCGAATAGTACCCATTTTTTTTTTGGCCCACTGTGTATTTGAGTTTGACACCCCTGCTTTACACCTTGCAGCTATTATGATAATTTGGTTCAGTTAGGAAAAAACTCACATTTTATTCATACAGATTGTTCTCCCAGTTTATATATATTTGAACCTATATTACATGACATTGCATTTAGCTGACGCTTTTATCCAAAGCGACTTACAATAAGTACATTCGACCAGGAAGATACAACCTTGAAGAAAACAGAATCATATAAGTACATCAGGTTTCATAGAGCCAAACATTTCAAGTGCTACTCAACTGGCTTTAGATAAGCCAGTCCTTTATTAGTATATAAGTGCTCTGTTAGCAGTTCTTTGTTAGTAATTATATCGCTCAAAGTGGAGTCGAAAGAGATGAGTTTTCAGTCTGCGCCGGAAGATGTGCAAGCTTTCTGCTGTCCTGATGTTAATGGGGAGCTCATTCCACCATTTTGGAGCCAGGATAGCAAACCCACGTGTTTTTGCTGATAAAGTTTAACCATGTCCTGGATGTAGGAAGAGCCAGATCCATTCGCAGCATGGTATGCAAGTACCAGTGTCTTGAAGTGGATTCTAGCAGTTACCGGAAGCCAGTGAAGGGAGCGGAGGAGCGGAGTGGTGTGGGAAAATGTTGGAAGTTTGAAGACCAGACGAGCCGCTGCATTCTGGATGAGCTGCAGAGGTCGGATGGCACATGCAGGTGCTTAAATATATATTTAAGAAGTACAATATAAGACAAGCAGAAGTGTATTATACTTAAGGGCATTTGGCCCCCGGGCCGTAGTTTGGACACCCCTGTTCTAAACGGAATAACATGGTTTGTTTACATTTACTGATATCAATATCAAATAAGAATCACCTGAAGCATTGAGAAATGTTGCCGTGTAGGGGAGTGCATCTGACGAAGAGATAGGTTGTTGTGCTCCCTATCTCTGTTTCTTATCCTATATCTAATAGAACTGCTCGGGTCTTGATAGATTGAGTGGGGAAGTTCATGAGATCTTTCTAGAGGGTTATCAAGAATAACTTTTATCCAATGACCTTTTCCCTCTCTGTTTGTGTCTGTGTATTCTCTTGTTCCGATTAACCCAGCCAAATGTTTTCTTGTTTTGTATCTATATCTACGCCGGGATACGGAGTCGATGCTGATCCTATTGCTGTAGTCCTGTGTCTTGGATCCTCTATCCCGAGTTCTGGATTAAGTCGTGGACTTCGGGTCGTGGCTGAA